ACGTCACTCCGCTCGGCCCCCCAGCAGCCCTCGAAAGTGGTGACAGTTGCGCAGATCGCAGCCCCCCAGGGATGGCGAGGTCGAATCTGAATATGCGTACGACGTCACTCCGCTGGGCCCCCCAGCGGCCCCCGAAAGTGGCGACATTTTCGCAGATCGCAGCCCCCAGGGATGTTGAGGTCGAATGTGAACCTGCGTATGACGTCACTCCGCTCGGCCCCCCTCAGCAGCCTTCGGAAGTGTCGACAGTTTCGCAGATCGCAGCCCCCCAGGGATGGCGATGTCGAATTTGAATCTGCGTATGACCCCATTCCGCTGGGCCCCCCTCAGCAGCCTTCGAAAGTGGTGACAGTTTCGCAGATCCTAGCCCCCCACAGCAGCCCTCGAAAGTGGTGACAGTTTCGCAGATCGCAGCCCCCCAGGGATGGCGAGGTCGAGTCTGAATCTGCATATGACCCCACTCCGCTGGGCTCCCCAGCAGCCCTCGAAAGTGGTGACATTTTCGCATATCGCAGCCCCCCAGGGATGGCGAGGTCCAATCTGAATCTGCGTATGACCCCACTCCGCTGGGCCCTCCAGCAGCCCTCGAAAGTGGTGACCGTTTCGCAGATCGCAGCCCCCCAGGGATGGCGAGGTCGAATAGCAACCTGCGTATGACGTCACTCCGCTGGGCACCCCAGCAGCCTTCGAAAGTGGTGACAGTTTCGCAGATCGCAGCCCCCCAGGGATGGCGAGGTCGAGTCTGGATCTGCGTATGACCCCACTCCGCTGGGCCCGCAGCAGCCCTCGAAAGTGGCGGCAGTTTCGCGGATCGCAGCCCCCCAGGGATGTTGAGGTCTAATCTGAATCTGCGTGTGACGTCACTCCGCTGGCCCCCCCACAGCAGCCCTCGAAAGTGGTGACAGTTTCGCAGATCGCAGCCCCCCAGGGATGGCGAGGTCGAGTCTGGATCTTCGTATGACCCCACTCCGCTGGGCCCCCCAGCAGCCCTCGAAAGTGGCGACAGTTTCGCAAATCGCAGCCCACCAGGGATGGCGAGGTCGAATCTGAATCTGCGTATGACCCCACTCCGCTGGGCCCCCCCAGCAGCCCTCGAAAGTGGTGACAGTTTCGCTGATCGCAGCCCCCCAGGGATGGCGATGTCTAATCTGAATCTGCATATGACCCCACTCCGCTGGGCCCCCCCAGCAGCCCTCGAAAGTGGCGACAGTTTCGCAGATCGCAGCCCCACATGGATGGCGAATTCTAATCTGAATTTGCGTATGACGTCACTCCGCTGGGCCCCCCAGCAGCCCTCGAAAGTGGCGACAGCTTCGCAGATCGCAGCCCCCCAGGGATGGTGAGGTACGAGACAAACTGGCACGCAGGAGCGAGCGAGGTAGGAAGCAGGGGGGAATACGGAATGAGGAGGGGGTGGGAGAGGAGAGGAGAGTCGCGACCGCAGCTGCTCTATATTCAAAACGAGAACCCAACGCAGGAGGGTTGGGAAACACACCTTTCCTCACCAGTCCAGCTTTCCCAGGTCACGAACGTGTGGCAGGGCCATCGGAGCCCTACCATTCCAGCACCCCCAGAGGTCACGAACGTGTGGCAGGGCCATCGGGTTCTCACCATAGCAGCTTTCCCAGGTCACGAAGGTGTGGCAGGGCCATCGGATTCCTACTATGTCAGCTTTCCCAGGGCACGACTGTGTGGCAGGGCCATCGGAGCCTTACCACTCCGGCCTTCCCAGGGCACGAGCGTGTGGCAGGGCTATCGGAGCCTTACCACTCCAGCCTTCCCAGGGCACGAACGTGTGGCAGGGCCATCGCATTCTCACCATTCCAGCTTCTCCCAGGTCAGGAAGTCGTGGCAAGGCCATCGAATTCTCGCCGTTCCAGCCCTCCCAGGTCACGAGAGTGTGGCAGAGCCGCAGGATTCTCACTATTCCAAGGCTTTCAGAGTCACGAAGGTGTGGCAGGGGGTTGGAGGTGTGTCCAAGACAATCACTGGGGATCGTTTGGGGATCGCTCCTCCTCCAGCCTTCCTCTTCCTTTCCTCCTCCCTCTCATCCTCCCTCCTCCTCCCCTGGGGGTTAGGAGGCTACCTGACTGCATCGGAGGTGTACTCAGAAGCTCTCGCCCATGTGTTCGACGAGGCTCCCAGCGGATGCGTGCAACGCCCGCCCCTGGCCCGGGCCTCCCGAACTGGGCCAGACCAGACGGGTTCGAAGGATCGCACCGCATCGCCGATGCGTAGCCGACGCGACTCGGTGGAGCCCGATGTTCTCCACGCCGACGGCGCCGGTATATCGGCGACGTCGCTGGTGCATCGGCAATGCGGCGCGATCCTCCGACCCCACCTGATCGGGCCCCATTTGGGAGGCCTCCGCCTCGGGTGTCCACCGGAGGGGGGAGGGGGCGCCCGGCAGGCCCTGCGGTTGACCAACGACCACAAGCCCGAGCGGGAAGACGCGGCTCCGACTGCCTGGGCGGGGGGGGGGGAACCCTCGGCGCCGCAC